AGTAATAATGCAAAAAAAAAACTGCCAGCAACAACAATAACGGCGAGGGAGAGAAAAAATCATACATCAAGATTATTGTAACTCGCGGCAATTGCATCACAGTAATGGCCAACAACAACAACAACAACTCCAGAGTCTGCAAATCGCCTGGCGAAACAAAAACAAAAACAACAAGTAAGAACGTTGCAGTCGGGCGTTACCGACTGCGGAATACTCATTCACATCCCATCAACAATTTAGTAGTTAAGTTTCGTTCTAATACTGTAGAATATACAGGTTTTTCCGATTTGCCACGCCCCAACTGGGCGTAGACACCTCATTTTTGGTCAGTTTTTAGAAAGAGATAACGTTACCCTAACTGCAAAGTTTGAATGCTTACCCTAAAAAAATGTGAAAATTACAGGGTATTTTTCGATATGCCACGCCCCTAAAGAGGCGTAAAAATTATTTTTGGGGNTGTTCCAAATTTCAAGTCTCTAGCTTCAATAGCGCCGAAATAGATTGCGTTCATACGGACAGACGGACAGACGGACAGACGGACGGACGGACAGACGGACAGACGGACGGACAGCAAGACGGACATTGCACAAAACCAATATACTGATTCACTTTCGTGAATGAGTATAAAAACAAAAAAATAAAATTGGAAATCGCAAGAAACATTTTACATTTGCATAAAAATGCATGGCACAAAGTACAAGCGCTAAAAATGTTTGCCGCATGTTGCGCAGCATGACGAGGGGTGGACAGCGTACAACAAGTGGATGAGGGGCAGCAGGAGGGGGGGGAGGTAGGCGGACGGGAGGTAGACCTGTGTAGTGGGAGGTAGACGAAACAACCTTCAAGCTACAAAACACTTGACTCCATTGCAGAGCTGCAGAGGCCGTGGCAGCGGCGGCAACGGCGGCGGCGTTGACGTCGCTTTGGTTTGATTGAACACAAGGATATGTGTCCGCCGGCTACAGACGCAGACAGAGCCAAAGCCAGAGCTGGCGAGCTGTTGCAGCTAAAGTCAGAGCAATAGCAACAACAATAACATAAACCAAAGTGCAGTCAAGTCAACAGCACCAACAACAGCAACAACTAAGCTGCAGTGCAACACTGACAGCAACGCAGATCACCAGCTACAGCAACAACAACAACAACAACAACAGCAACAATATCAACAATGCCAACGTCCACAATTTGAGGCAAAACGCAACACTTTCACTCTACTTAAGACGGATGAGGCGATTGAGGGAGGAGCAGCATCAGCAGCAGCGGGAGCAGGCTCAAGACAAGATCGCGTTGGTGGGAAAATGCAGCGATCGTTTTCCAGTATACCCCCAAAGAGCACCCCCCACGCCGCCTTGGCCCGCCCCCCTAACTCCTCTGGCTCTTTCTATCGATATTTATTATCATTTCGCGCGGCTTTCGTTGCCAACGTTTGCTGGCGCTGCACTGCGTCCACTGCGAAGGCACAGATAATCATTTGCATGAACACAAGTCCTCAATTGCTGCCCGATCAATCAAGCAATCAATTTGCGACGAAGCAACTCCAAAGAAAATTCAGTTTCCGAAAATCCTTTGCTAAAAACGAGCGCAACTTGGCCCTAACTGAAAGAGACTCCCATATGAATATTGCTGAGCAATAAAGGCGAGCTTGAGAGTGAAAACTAATAATAGTCAAGTATCTTTCATTGAAGCAAAGACTAGTCTCCATATTGAGTTATTTTCATTCCATTAATATATATTTTAAGCATATTGGCAGACGTCTTCATACCTCATATCATTTATTTACCATACACATTCCTTATCATGATCAACATCTGACTTTATTTAAGCATGTCCATCTGTCCGCTGCAAAGTAAAGACATATTTAAACCTTAAACCCATGAGAAATTAGAGTATAAGGGTTATGTGTAAATGTATGCAGAAGAAGGCGTGGCAGACCCCATAAAGTATATCCATATATTCTTCCTAAACAGAAAGATGTGGTGTACCTATCTATAAACATTGGAGGCGTAGGAAGTCGAGTAAAACTGAGAGAGCCGAAAATTTCACACTTCAGTTACTTTTAAGATCCTATAAAGATAGACGGAAATATTTGATGTCCATGCAAATCGGATTTGACTATATAGTATTAGAGTATTTGACTATACAGTATTAGAGACAAGTTCTGTTCTATTTTGAGCACTATTGATTTTGGAGCTTAAATTTTGAATAGATATAACGAGTATGTTTACGCAAATTGGTTACAACTGAAGATTCATTTTGATATAGGACTACTAGAGTATATATATTATAGACCGTTTTCTGAATTTCTTATAAAATCACAGCTTATATAAATATATAAAATATTGTTACGCAGTTGCTTGCTCTTTCCCGTTATATATGCTGTCTTACGACTATACCGTTTACTCTAGCAGTTTCTGCTCTACAGCCGCGACCGAGAATATTAGCCGACCTCTGACCTTCGAGGCCAAGGCACAAAAATATCTTCCTGACGGTCGCTGCCAACTTTAAATATTGTTATTTCCAAGAAGAGGATTACAACAACAATATGTTTGGTCCGCCAGCCAAATGCCCAAATTTGCCATGATTTATGAAATATGATAGACGATGTGTGTTTTTTGGGTTGTGTGTTTTGTGTGCAGCTCCAGTTTGGCTACTGCATCGGCAATTTATGGACAGGGCGTTGCTGCCAAATGAGCAGCAAAGCCAAATTTGCCAGCTGATAAGTCAAGGCAAATAAATTGCCAGTGAGGGAGCCAACGGCAGCCCCAACAATGGRGCGGTGCAAGCGAGCGAGCGAGTGGCGCCTCGCCATTCCAGTCACAGATTGAGATTGAGTGCAAATTATCCAATTGCAGTTCCACCTGGACGACTGGACGATTAAACGGCAAACAAATTTGGTCTCGTGTGCGATGTGAAAGTGCGAATGTGGCAGGTGTTTGTGCTGACGCGGGTGCACAGATGGTGGGGGAGGGGGCAGGCCAAGGAGTGAAGGCATACACGAGTTGCTTAGCGCATTTCACAGTCGCCCATCAAATGGCGCTAATTGTCCTTGACGATGGTGCCATCCCACATGGCATTTTATATTGCGTTTGCAGCGTCAAATTGCTGCCGGATAAGAAACAGCAACAGCAACAACGGCAACAGCAACAGCAACAACAGCAACAACGGACAACGGCAACAGCAGAAAGTGAAAACTTGAAAAATTATGTAACGGCCGCAAGGACGTTGTTGCCGCAAGGCTGAGATGGCGAAGGAGATGGAGCTGCAGATGGAGGCAGAGTTCGGCGACAGCAACAACGGAGGTCGTCACACACTTGGTCTGATTTTGTGGCACAACTAGCCTCCTTTCCCCCTCTCCCTCTCCCTCGCTCTCGCTCTCTTCCTCTCGTTCAGTCATGTTGTGAGTGCTCGCTTCGGGGGCGTTGCTGCTGATGTTGCTGTTGTTGTTGCAGCTGCTGCTGCTGCTGCATTTTAGAGGTTAAGCTGGCAAGTAGGAAGCATTGTGGCGGCGCCTCCACAAATTGCTGGCGACAATGCGGCAGCCAAGATTGAAGCACATGCGAGCTGTCCAATTTTTATTGTCGTCGTTGTCGTTGTTGTTGTTATTGTTATTGTTGTTATTGTTGCTTGCTGTTGTTGACTTTTATTCGCTGGGTGCGCATTTTAATTAAGTATACGACGCGTGAGCTCAGCGCATAATATAAAAATTATTTTCTGTATGCCATATTAGGCGATGCTTGCAACTGCCACAAGCGGCAACCTGTGTGGTTGTCTGCAGTTGTAGCGGCCGTGGGGCGCTCCTAGAGCGGCGTAACTAACATCTAGCGGGAAAAGACGTGAGCTGCAGCACAAGCGACAATTTAACAAGTGCGAGGTGTGATCAATAAACATATGAAGTTGAGAAAGAAGCGAAATTTAGAGAGTGCGATATAGACGCGAAAGCTTGGAGAGAGAGAGAGGTAAAAAGAGATGAAATGGTGGGAGAGAGAGGAAGAGGGGGGAGAGATAGAGGGAGAGAGAGAGGCATACAGAGAGAAAAGAGAGAGAGAGACAGGGAAGAGAGATAGAGAGAAAAGAGGGAAAATGAAAGCTGGTAAAAAACATGAACGAATTGTCCCTTAGATGAAATACTTTGGATTATCTAAGAAAAAAAGAGAGAACGAAGAGGGATGGAGAGAAAAGCAGAACTCGTAAAATAAAATTCCTTAATTAAAGCACTTTGAATCGTCTTGGGGAAAATTAAAATATACAGCAATTTGGGAGAAGAGCTATAGACGGAAAGGATTGCACAATATTCAAAATATTTTGAAGAGAGATGAGAAAAACGAAACAGCTAAACGGTAACAATGAGATAATAAAATTAACAAACAATGACAAAATTATAAATCAAAACACATATAGAAAAAGAATTTATAAATAAACAATATGAAGAAATTATTAATATAAATATGAATATGAATGAATGTAGATTAAGGCAACAGCAGCAAAGATAAATATTGCTCAATCAGAGATAAGAAGCTCAAGGAAAATATTACTGAAAATACTTTTGAAGAGAGAGAGCAAAAGCAAAAACAAAGGCAAAAGCAAAAGCAGAGGCTGGTTCATGGTCACAGCACAGCATCACCCAGCTGAAAAGTGGAGCAAACCACTTAGCCACACCACTCAGGCAGTCAGGCATTCAGTTGCACGAGGCGTGTGTGTGGCACTTCGTTTAATTACCTCAGCATTGAGACAGATGTAACATCAAATGCCAAAATGACATTTGGAGTCAAGGCTTTGACCATTCGCTGCTGCCCGGCCGCCCGAAAAGCCAAACTGTTTGTTTTTCTCTCTTTTTTATACTTTTATTTTTAATTTATTTTGTGCGCTGTGGCTGCAAAAATGCGAGCAAGTTTAGCTGACCAAATGCGGCTGAGTTGCCAGGCCTGTCATTAGCCTTAAAAGTAGCCCGGCTTATGGACGTTGGCAATGCTGACCGCCTCTCCTTGGCTCTCTGTTTGCAGGTGACATTGACGATTGCATTGTGACGCCGACGGTCCAGGGGCAGTTCACCCCGCTGCCCGAGGCGCTGTGCGATGTCATCATGGACTTGACCGCCGAGGGCCAGTCGGCGACCATCGAGCATGTGCGCAGCAAGCTGGGCGTGCGATTCCCCCACATGACCACGCCTGCCACAGAGGTCATCTACGACTCGCTGGCGCAGCTGATGCAGGAGCAGAAGATCTACCAGACGGCGAAGGGTTACTTCATCTTCACGCCAGAGTGAGTAGCATCTACATTTGGTTTCCATGCATTCTCTTTAAAGTTCTCTCTTTTCGTTTTATCAAATCCTCTGCAGACGCCGTCGCAGTCGGTCGCGTCCGCGCAGCAATCATCACCAGCTCAATGGCGGCCACAGCACCAATGGCAGCCTAGTCTACTCTCAGCTGACGGAGGAGGAGCACCAGCAGGACGTCGTTCCGCCGGAGGCACGCACTATGCTTATGTCTAACGCGGAGGCCCTGCACTCGCTGTACGGCGAAATATCCACGGAACGGGATGGTGACCTAACGCATCAATGCATTCAAACCAATCTGGCGGATGTTATCTGCGGAGGCAAGTCGACTGCCAAGTCAATTAGAGTTCTACCCCGAGATTATTGCATAAGATTGAGAAGACTGAATCAGAGAGGCAAATGTTGTTCATTTGGGATATAATTTCCCTGAATTGAAATGTCTTTAATATTGTATACTATTTGACTATTTATGCCCTAAATCCAAATGGGGAATCAATGTATTTTGCATGCAGAAGCAGACGTGGCAGACCCAATGAGGTATATATTCTTAATTAGGACAACAAGCTGAGTCTGCCCGCTTCCGTTCGTCTGGGTATGACGCGTCAATCCCTAAACCCATAAAAGCTAAACACATTTTTTTAAAATCCCTGTAATAGTACGTGCAGATTATTTCTTTACAAAAATTTTTATACTCATTCACGAAAGTGAATCAGTATATTGGTTTTGTGCAATGTCCGTCTTGCTGTCCGTCCGTCTGTCCGTCTGTCCGTCTGTCCGTCCGTCCGTCTGTCCGTATGAACGTTATCTCTTTCTAAAAACTGACCAAAAATGAGGTGTCTGCGCCCAGTTGGGGCGTGGCAAATCGGAAAAACCTGTATATTCTACAGTATTAGAACGAAACTTAACTACTAAATTGTTGATGGGATGTGAATGAGTATTCYGCRGYCGGTAACGCCCGACTGCAACGTTCTTACTTGTTTTAATTTTGTTATCGGCCAAAAACCTTATCGAACTGATAGATAACGCTGGAGGAGTAAATGTTGATAAAGGAGTTGGAAAATGCAGGAAAGTGCTGAGGTCTAAAATTGCAATATTTGTATGCTAGATCAATCCACAGACTCTACATAAAAACGTAGACTGGATGGCGTACAGGGTACCTGCTAGTCAGGCTGGAGCTACAGCAAACTTTTTAAAGCTAATTCATTTGTAACAATTCATAAGCTAAAGTAAAATTATCTTTCTAAACAGGTAATCCCAATGATAAGATTATATATCCGCGTGCGGCCAAGCGACGCAGTGCATCATTTCCGACGCCGCGCAGCTTGGAACGCCGGCACAGTTTGCGGCTCTTTGGCTCATCTAAGCGCCTGCAACGCTGCGCCTCGACCCGCAGCCTGTCCAAAACCTATGCCCAGACGCTCAACACGACGGACAGTAGCAGCTCGGAATACCAAAGCACAGATTCGTCATCCCCCAGTAAGTAGCGGAGCAGCCACAACTGGAAAGGACATTCTTTATCTGAGAGATTCTATTCTTACGTTTGCAGAAAAAGGATCTTTGCTCTCACGGCTGTTCCGACGCAGCGGACGCGCCAAGCAGCGCCAGATTGAGACGTACTCGGCACAGTTTCCGCCCGCCGAGTGGTTCAACACGCGCGCCGTCCATCTGCATAGCGTGGGCACCCAAACCGCAGATCACGTAAGTTGGCATCACAATCAATCAACCTTTTAATTGTAAGTCTTTTCTCTTGCTGCAGGACATGCCCTCGGTTCATACGCTTTCCAATTCGACGTTCTACGACGGCTCCGAGCTGAGCCAGCGGTCGTCGACACTGCCGCGTCGCCATCGCCGCCACATGTCCAGCGAGTCGACGTTCCTGATATCCTCCAGGGACTGCTCACCCATACGCCGGCGGTCTCCCGTCTACTGCAGCAGTTCGCTACCTCGTTCCACTCAGTCCATCCCAGCCAGCAGCGGCGGCAGCGGAAGCGGCAATGCCGTCAATCACACCAAAATAAATCACTCCTCGGCGACGCTGTCGCGCCTGCACACAGCTACGCCAACGCCGTCGTCCATGCAGCAGAAAACAGCGCAGAAGTCGGTCATCGGCAAGCACATCTTCGAGAGCTCGCCGGCTCGCTCCTCGACGCTGAAGTCCGCCTCGTCGGGCAAGCGGCAGACGGATGGACTGATCGTGATGAATGGCAGCTCAGACAACAAGACGGCCTACCGCAGTCTGCAGAGCAGCGGGCCCTCCAGTCTGGAGTCCTGCAAGACGTCAATGCTTGCCAGCGGCCCATCCAGCATTGACAGCGGCAAGGTTTCATTCAGCCAGAAGACCAGCGGCCACTCTAGTCTGGACTCACAGTGCTCCACGAACACGGCTGTAGTGGCTCCGACCACAAACACAAATGGCAGCACGCGTTCCATACTGCTGCTCAATGGCTCGCCACGCGGCACGCCGCGCCATCAGGCGATGAGAGCGCGTGTGGCWGAAGCGCAGGCGCAGGCGCAGAGGCAACGGGCGAGCACGCCCAGCCGCATAATGGAGGAGCTAAGCTACCCCCCGAACTGCAGCGCCAATGGAGTGCCCAATTCGAACAGCAATAACTCCATCACGCTGCAGGTGACCACCAGCTCGAGTGGCGGCGGCCAGAGCATACCCAGCACTAAGATCTTTGTGCAGAACTCGCCGGTGAGGAGTGTGATCACGCTGGAGAATGGCAAAATGTTGGAGAACTCGAATGTGTTTATCATTAACAATGAGACCATGACGAATGAGAAGGGCGAGATCATCAAGAAGACGCTCTCCAAGCAGACGACAGCAGCAGCTGCACCCCCAGCTGCATCTGTGCCAATGGCCACATCCACGCCAGCTAGGCCCGAGTCGGTGCCCGAGCATCCGCTGAGCGAGACGGAGGCCAACTCGGAGACGTGCGACTCCATTTCGTTCATCAGCGAGAGCTCGCCGGAGAATACGGCCACTGAGACGCCCTCCTATGATGGCGGCAAATATGCCAAGAATACCAACAACGAGGGCACCATGAACAACAACCGCAAGCTGTGCCTGCAGCTGGCCAATGGCATCGCCTACAAGAACAACGTGCTCAAGAATGAATCGCAGCCGAATTCGCCGTGTGGGGAGCAGCTGCAGCAGCACCCACTGAAATTGGCTGCCTTGGCCAACCAGGACTTCGAAATAGCCGGGTCGGTGGGCAATTTGAATTTCTATGAGAAGCAGTCCAAGGACTTGGCGCCCTCGCAGAGCAACCGCAAGCTCATGAACAGCAGCAGTGATCTGAAGAACCTTTGCTACGAGTCTGTCTGCCAGCTGCAGAAGTGCACCATGAATGGCGATGAGCTGGCGCTCGCGCATCTGCTGCACAAGTCCAGCAATCCGCTGGGCAGCGAGCCGAATCTGGCGCTGAAGGATCATGCTAATGACAAGGCCATCGATAAGGAAGCCATGGACAGGCGGCTGAGCCTAACCAAGGAGTCTCTGGAGCAGCATGGCATCGGCAACGTTCTGGGAACGGGCAACGAGGAGCTCTATAATTTCCCCAGCCTCACGGATCTGTCCTTCAATTTTACGTCGCTGGCGGCGCGCAAAATACTCCAAGGAGTGAGCCTCAACAGCATCGACACGCTCGTGGAGCTGAATATGGCGGCGGCGGCGGCAGCTGCAGTGGCGGCCAGCAATGCCCAGGAAAAGCAACAGAATAACCAGACGACAACGGCGGCAGCGGCAACAACAGCCCCTACCGTGTGCACGGACTTTGGCATGGTCTAGCTGGAGCTATCAGAGGGAAAGATGTAGAGAGAGTAGTTCAGGCGCCTCCGGTCAACAGAGCAGCTCTGTTGGATTAGGAGCCCGCTTCATCTTAGCATAATCAAACGAAGCCTTAGACGAGCAGCAGCAAAAGCAAAATTGAATTGAATTTATAAAATCAATCTCTGTAATTTATTATCGATTATCGAATATGGGTTAATTGAAATGCTTTTGTTTCCGTTTCGTAGTAACAATTCTTTTCTCTTTCTAATTTCATTTTATTTCTGTCTGCACTCGTTTTTAGGTTTTACGAATTTTCTTATAAATCGGAAGCAATTTTTTATTTACAGTGCCAAAATATGTTTAGTTTAATTTTAATGTTTATACTTTGGACCCCAGCCACAACGAGCACCCCATAGCACTCGCGAATCATCCGAATGCATCTGACAGAGTTTGCAAGTGCAATTTATTATAAGTAGAGATCAACGCTCACCGCCCAGCCTTTTCGTTCCCCTACTTGATTGTAAAGTTTTTCCACTAGATTGGAATCCTCCCTAATTTTTAGTTTTTGTATATTTGTTTAAAGCAATAATCATTTAGACTAACATGCCTATAAAGCAACCCTATTCTACATATGATACGAACTCACATACACACACGTATACACACCCTTCTACATACACACATACCCATTATAGGAATCTACTACGAATATAGAATTTAGCACCTACAACAGAAATACAATAATTTTGTACAAGGCCTTAATTAGTAGAGTCAGCAATAATATAAATAAGTTGAAATCACTAATAAATATGAAATATACAAATTTATATAAATGAAATGGTTTTATTTATTATTTCAATTYAATATTATAATAACTTCATCAGGAGCATCGACTAAATGGATGCAGTCATAATGCCCTTAGGCAACAGATTCGACTATTTACTCTCGGAAATCTGAAGCTAGATATCTCAGTTGGGAGTCTGTATGTAAAATCTGGCCATTAATGTAACGTAAATCTTAAATGAAACACCTGAAATTTGGTATTATTTCTTTTCATTTATTTAAATTTTTAAGTCTTTTCTTTTTCACATATTTATATTTATATATATTTATATATCCGGGTTGGTTTTTCATACACTTTTGCGATTTATTATTATATTATATATTATTATTTAATATTTTAGATTTTGGGTAGTTTTGGCTCTATAAATATGAATAATTATAGCTAATTGCTTTTAAGTTAATATTCATGTTATATACACACACACGCGGTATATATCTATATATGTATTTATATATATGTATATCGATTTACGATGGTTTTAAGTTACACGAACTTAATTATGGTATAAGAAAAAAGTAATATACAAAGCGCAACTTATCGTGGATTGTTTTAGTATTAAAATTACGTGTTTAAGTTTATCGTATAATGTTTTAGATAGAAAGGGGATTAGATACAAAAGAAAACACTAGTGCGCTAGCAAAAGGGATCTACTTGCTGAAAATGTATTTCAAAAATTGGTTTTTCTTCTGTTATTAGCTAACTGATCGTGTGCACGAGTCTGCGACGATCATAGAGGGTATTTGAAAAGATGATTAGTTAAGAGATAAATGTATATATATAAATTGTTGATAAATGTTGTTAAATATGTACAATTAGTTTTGAAAACTTACTTAAGTCGCATTTCAATCGCGTTAATAGACAAATATGCAGTTTATGTACAATAATATTAGCAGAGAACGAAGGAACATTAAGAATTCATATTGTAGCTGCTGTTTTGTTAGGTGTTAGGTGTTAAATGTTTGTGTGCTTAAAAATGGCTTTCGGTTCGATTCGGTTCGGTTCGTATCGGATCATACAAATATATATATATATGTAGAATGCGTATCTATACATATGTATATATTTAAACTGAATATACAAATACTGCGCCATATTTAGACTTCTGTGGAGCGCGAGTCATCTGACCGCGATGCTTTGCGCTCTCGTCCTGGTATACGTCCCATTACCACAGGTCCTGGCTGTGTCTGCGACTGCGACTGCGCCTGTGCTTGCGCTTGTGCTTGAGCTTGTGCTTGGGCCTGTGCTTGCGCCTGTGCTTGCGCCTGTGCCTGTGCTTGAGCCTGAGCTTGAGCGTGCGCCTGCATCTGAGCCTGCGCCACCTGCTGCTGTTGAATCATTTGCTGCTGCTGCAGCATGTAAGCCGCCTGCGACTGCTGCACGAAGTTGGCGTGCGTGTAGGCCTGCATGCCAGGCGCGGCATAGACGTTGCTGGTGGTGGCCTGCAGGTTGAAGCGGATTTTCGAGGCCGCATTGGCCGCGTTGGCGGCAGCTGCGATGGCGGCCGCGTTCTCCCTCGACGCACTCGACGTGGTTGTCGACTGGAATGAGATGCTCATGCCGCTATCCAGGGAGCCGACGCTGCCACGCCGCTGGGGCTTCTCGTTGCCAACTGGAGGGGGATTAGACACAGATTAGCAACAAGTTAATTAGACAGAAAATCAACAAATGTCGCTTACATTGCTCATGCATGTCCAGCAGACTGTTGCTGAGGGCGCTCCGCTTCAGCTGATTGGAGTCCGTAGAGCTGGACGCCTGCTCGCCGGCCGCCTGAGTGCCGGGCTGATAGGGACACGGGCAGACCTCGACATCGGCCACGCCGCTGTCGCGGTTGTCCGTGTTGCCGGTGGCGCGATTGCGCGCCGACTTCTGCCGCTCGAGTTCGGCTTCAATGCGCAGCGCTTCCATTTCGTCCATTTCACTGATGGACTCCTTGAGATCCTCGGCGAACTTGCAGCGATCGTGCTCGTTGCGCGCATTGAAGGTGATCAGGATCTTGCCGTCCACCTTCTGGGAGAGCTGAATGCAGAACGGATAGTTCGGCAAGTCCAGCAGGCTGACCACGGCGCCGCAGAGCGGGAAGCTGTTGCGGAACGTGTACGTCACGGAGGTCTTCTTCTTGCTAAAGATTTTGGTAATGACCAGCAGATCGTTGAACAGGAACACCTCGCGCTGGTGCACGCCAGGTCGCTCCTTCTTGTTCACGTCGGGTATCTCGTACAGCCGACAGTAGCAGACGAGCCGTCGATGGGGCAGGGCCAGATTCGGCTTCTTGCCCACTATGGTGGCCTGGACCTTCATTACCTGGGTCACGTGGTCGCTGCCTGGCTTGAACTCATCCGACTTGACGCGCTCGAAGATGCCGACCAGCATGTCCCTGTCTATGTCGTGGCAGTCATCGATGCCGCGCAAGTTCTTGATGAAGTCCTCGACGCGCATGCGCCGCTCCGGCTTCAGATTGGGCGTATGCAGATCCGTGTTCAGCATGATGATGGCGAAAGCCAGCACAAAGATCTGCAAGGAGCAACACGAAGGCTAAGTAAAGAGGAGCGAGCACTCGCATATCCACATTTGACTTACCGTATCGGATGACCTCAGCCGCCCCACAATGTCCGGATTGCACTCGCAGTAGCGCTGCGAGAAGACCTCCATCAGCCGCTCAATCTTCTGCGCCTCGCCGGGCATGCGGAAGTAGGCCTGGAACTTGCGCAGCGCCACGTCCACCTGCCGCCCGGACAGGTCCAGCTCCATGGCGAAGCAGCTGAGCACCGCCATGTTGAACTGGTTCTGCAGATTGCCCAGATACTCGCCAATCATCTGCCGCGAGAGGCCCTTGCGCGTGATCAGGAAGCGGGCGACGCCCTGCGGCGTGTTCTCCAGGAATCCGCGCCGGATCAAGTACGTGATGCCCTTCTCCGGCTTCTTGTTGAACAGATTGAGCCCCACGCGGTACTGCCGCTTGCGTATCGTCTCCGACATCTTGTAGTTGGGAGGCACGCCCGCCGCGGCGGCCGCCGCCTGCAGCTGCTGCTGTTCGTGCTGCTGCTGCTCGTGCTGCTCGTACTGGGCGGCGCTGGTGTGCGAGGAGATGGCGTGGTCATCTGTGGGCGGCACGCCGCCCGGTGCGGTGGCCGCTGCCACCACCACCTGCAGTTGGCCGGCGGCGCCCACGGAGTCCGCCGAGTGCGTGGAGAACTGCTGCGAGCTGTTGAGCGCCGTGCCGCGCTTCCAGGTGTGCGGGGAGTTGCTGCGGTCGGAGCCCAGGTCGCTGTTGATGTTGCGCTCCGCCGAGGTGATGCTCGAGTCCGAGCCGGAGCTCTGCACGGACGTCAGGCTGCCGTTCTCGGCCGTCTTGCAGAGCCCGTTGGTGCGCAGCAGCGAGGGCGGCGGCGGCGTCTGCCGCTGCATCATCAGCAGCTGGCTCTGCTGCTGGGCCGTGATCGAGGACGTGCGCTTGGGCACCTCCGGCGGCACCTTCTTGCCGCTGCCGCTGCCCTGGCTGCCGCAGCTGGGCGTCGGCGTGGTGCTGCCGCCCTTGGGCCGCATGTAGATCTGCGCCGCCGAGTAGTAGGGCGTGTGCGGCGAGTGGCCGCTGGTGTTCACCCAGGAGGCATTCAGCGAGGTGTCCGCCGAGCTGGCGTAGCTGAGCTCGTGCGGCGACCCGTGGTAGCTGGTGTAGTACGCGGCTGTCGGCATCGCCTGCGCATTGTAGTAGTGCGGCTCGGCGGCGTGCAGCAGGTTGACGTGCGGATGCGAGGCCAGGCCGGACACGGAGGTTGTGGAGCTGCCAATGGACACGGGTGAGGCGCCTGCGTTGCAAAAGGAATGTCGGTTAGCGCTGTCTAATGGCTTTCCCAAGCAGTATACTAATTGACAACTGATTTGGCTCAAAACTCAAAGCGAGACTCAAACTCGAAATCGAACTCACCCGACTGACTGCGAGGAATGGGACTGCAGTCCAGCTGGCGCCGCTCGCGCATCGAGAGCGAGCGCGTTGGGGGCGTCCGCGAGAGTCCGGGCGAGGCGGCACCTGGCGGGCCCGCCATTATGGTCACACGTGGCTGATGCTGTCCCGTCTGTTGCTGCTGCTGCTGTTGTTGTTGCTGTTGTTGTTGCTGTTGTTGTTGCTGCTGCTGCTGCAGCTGCTCTAGCTGAGATTCTGTGGCACTGCCGTAGGCAGAGGATAAAGAGGCATTCGCGGAGGCGCTCTCCTCGGCCAGGGTCATGCTGGAGGCGGTGACCACCATGCGGCGACTGAGGCGCTTCTCGGCCTTGGCCATGGCCGTGATCGAGGCGAACTTCTTGACCATCATGTAGTGTCGGAAGGCGCGCTGAATGGTGACTGCCGCATTGCGGGCCCGCACGCCGCCGTACTTGCGCTCCAGCAGCTCGATCTGTTTGTCCAGCAGATCCTGCGATAGCTCGTACCTGCAGAGCAATTCCAATTCTCAATTAGTCAAGTCTAGCAATGGGCAAATAGACACTACGCTAAAACAGCACTTCGAGAATCTGCGCCAAGGCGTGTCGCTAGACTGGGAGCATTTGCGCACCACTGCCGCAAGTCGCAGCCATTTGATAAGATAGCGCAGTTTGTTTGAGACGCGCGCGCGCGTGTGTGTGTGTGTGTGTGTATCTTTGAAATACAGCGCGAGCTGTCGACCTGATTAAAATGTTGCCACGAGGAGCGAGCCAGGCCAAGGGAGCGACGGCGAATTTGCGTATTGCCGTAAAAACATAAAACAATTCCCCAAAATTTTCATTTCGATCTTGGCCGATAGCGGAGTCAGCTCCAAGTCATGCCACAGTTAGATCTGTTTAAAAGTCAGCCATTTCTCATTCAGAATTCTAGCATAAAATATAACCGAACCGAGACTTTAATAAACAAATGCCTAATGAACCTGAAACGGGATTTTAGGCGCGGCATAAAACCAATCTATTTCTATTTCATTTTTACATTTTGCCTAAAATGTATTTAGCAACGAGATTGTTATCAGTCAGTCAGTCAGTCTCTCTCTCTCTCTCTCTCCCTGTCTCACTATCTCTCTCTCCCTCTCCTTATCTTAAATATTTGCTAAAGAACCGTTATCATTTGAGCAATTATTTAGTCTAGATCGTTCTTTGAACCAAGAGCTTTTTATAAAAGCTCTATTGTGCCTACGGAAGCTCGAGATAAATTGATAAGAGACATTCAATAAAAATGACGTCAAAAGTCTAGAAAAGATTTTTAGATTTTTATAACCCGAACCCATTGAATATGGCGAGTGGGAGTAGAAAGTATACAGCAACGGACAAAAGAAGGCGTGGCAGACGCCAAATATTATACACATTGATTATATTCCCGATGAATGGATCTACCCACTTGCAGACTAACCCTATGTCACAATGGACTTGCGTCTCTCGTGTATCCTGCATAGAGCTAGTTTATTATCCCATTTTATTATTACTAATCAAACATTTTACTTTGGTTTCATTAAGTCATTTAAGATTTTCTGGGTAGATTATTGCATTAAAAACAGAAATTCAAAAATATGGCTGAATTTTGATAATTTGATAACTGATACAGAGTATTTGATACTGGAAAAAGTATTAAAGGAATTAGCAGAGAATATGCAATTGTAATCTAATCAAATAAATAATTGAAGCTGTTTTCAAATAAAGACAGACTTGCCGGCACTTATCTTTATATATTATCCTTATCGAGTATACACACAACTTAATTATAAGCATATTATTTATTGATTTGTTTGTATATCAATAATTAATATTCTTATTCTTCTTGTTTACCAACAGAAAATATTCTTATAGTTGTCCCATTTTCTTTAAATTTGAGAGATGTTAATTTTTTAAATTTCAAGAAAATGAATTTAAACATTTTCCTAACTAGACAAGAAAAGAAAAAGATATGTTTATATTGTATGTTATAATTCTTCTTCTTCTTCTAATAATTGTCATATTGTTCAGCAAAGACTATCCTACAAAAGTGATAAATGCCTCCATTGCTTTCATTTGAAATTTAATCAATATTTTGCCTTTATCGGAGATATCACCTATCACTCTTTGTTCCCTTATCAGTTGTAAAACAGCTGGAAAGTGTTTATTCGGCACTTCTTGACTCGCAACTGGGTCTGGGGTCTGGGGTCTTGGGGCCTGGGACCCTGGGGGCTACCGTCTCAAGTCAGAGTCAGCTGTCAGCTGCGTCGCTTTTGCAAACATTTACATACGCCCCATGTGCCCAGGTTGTTATCGTGCCTCAGGGCCTAATCTTGGATACCAGGTCTTTATCTCTTATCAAGCCACTTGGGCGCAGTGCAAAGTCCAAGCTCATTTGGTTAGCCAAGGTGTCCCCAGCGAGCCACTGCCCACCTGCTGGGCACCTCTGATAGCTGCTTCTTCTTCTTCTGCCTCACCCCGTATCTAGTTCTTATCGTTTATCAATTATTGAGTCACACTTACGCGGACTGGGCGCGCGTGCGCTTCAGCACATCCCCGCCATTCCGTATGGAGTTCTTCTTGTGCATGYTCTGCTGCTGTTGCTGCTGCTGCAGCACGATTGCGCCGGCTCCTCCTGCTCCGGTGCCCACGCCGCTGCCGGCGATGACGACGGCACCGCCGTGGTGGTGGTGGTGCCCATGGCCGTGCAGCAGGTGGTGGTTGTGGTGGTGGTAGTGTCCACTGCCAGGCGGTGCCGCTTGCACCTGCATGTAGTGCTGCTGCTGCTGGTGCTGCTGCTGCTGCTGTTGCTGATGGCACGTGGGATACTGCTGGATCTGGTAGATCATCTGCGGGTGCTGCGGCGCGGGATAGTTGATAGTCGTGGCGGAGTTGTGACCGCCGCCCGCCGCATAGTGGTTCTGTAGGTAGACATATCCACCGACGCCGTCGGTCGCTGTGCCGGAGCCGTGCGCTCCCACTGGCGCTCCGGCCAGATCGTATTGTGTGGAGCCACTGCGCTCGATGCTCTTCTGGGGAAAGCTGCAAGGATGCGCAAGGGAGAGGGTTGCGTAAGTACGGATTACAAGACTTTCGTTTGAGACTTATGTTAAATATAATGGATCGCTGCATACCTTTCGCCAATTATAAAACCAGAAATGCAAATTATCATCTTGACTAATTCTACGATCTTAAGTCTTGAATAGAAAACTACCCGGAGACACACACACAAGCACACACGCACAGATGTAAACCAAACACAGTTATAGGCGGTGAATATTCACATATAAAAACAATTTCAGTTGTATTAAATTATTTTAATTTTATTCAGATTCACATTCAAATTCAATTTCGTTTTTCGTGTTTCTTTTAATTTTGTTCAGGTATTTCTTTCGGTTAGACCGAGCGTAGGAAGCACCGCTCAAGCATTTCGATGAGCCGGATGATCACGTCGTCGTCCAGCAACGTTCGCGTTTCAACTAAACCGAGCGTCTGCCCAGAGCTCGGCAAGCTGCTCGAACCAACGACTCAGAAACGTGTTTCGCCTGAATGCCTCTGTGTGTGTGTATTTGTGTGTGTGTGTGTGTGTGGGTATCAGCTGCCTACGCATCCAAAAAATGCATCTGTTTTGCCTGTGCTTAGAAAACAATTGCTACCCTTGCGAAGCCATAGACAATACGAGCAGACAACAAAGGGAACATCCTAAGCGTAAAAGGATCCACGACACAAAGGCCCAGAAAATGAGAGGGAGATCTCAAAGGCCACAGAGTGAGGTGAGGGTGAAAGATTTGAAAACGAAATGCCATATGGCATATGAATCGGATCAGGATATCTTCGACTGGAGTAAAAGTTAAGGAAATGATTAGCTAACGATGACAAACACAAACGAACGAAAATTCCCCTCGACCCCTAGACTACTTATTAGAAAGTGTGAATTATTGGAAGAAATCTGGCGACAGATGACATGAATTTATTCGAGTTCCAAGTGAATTGAAAGAAATATTCAACAAGTACAAGCGGAAATTACAAAGTAATAATAAATTGACCTGCAGTTGAGGAGAGTCTTAGAATATTCGTGATTTATTACAATCATTGGAATATAGATATAGATATAGATATAGATATAGATATAGATATAGATATAGATATAGATATAGATATAGATATATATATAGNAGGGAGATCTCAAAGGCCACAGAGTGAGGTGAGGGTGAAAGATTTGAAAACGAAATGCCATATGGCATATGAATCGGATCAGGATATCTTCGACTGGAGTAAAAGTTAAGGAAATGATTAGCTAACGATGACAAACACAAACGAACGAAAATTCCCCTCGACCCCTAGACTACTTATTAGAAAGTGTGAATTATTGGAAGAAATCTGGCGACAGATGACATGAATTTATTCGAGTTCCAAGTGAATTGAAAGAAATATTCAACAAGTACAAGCGGAAATTACAAAGTAATAATAAATTGACCTGCAGTTGAGGAGAGTCTTAGAATATTCGTGATTTATTACAATCATTGGAATATAGATATAGATATAGATATAGATATAGATATAGATATAGATATAGATATAGATATAGATATAGATATAGATATATATATAGATATAGATATGAATGTTATTATAGAAATCAAAGCTTCAACTCTTTTCCAATATCACATATTTATGAATTGTAATTCCAGAATAAATTATTATTTTACTTTTTAGTTTCATTCATTCTGGGATTTCTTTAAATTTAAATCAATCATATTTCATATATCATATAATTTCTGTATATCTTATATTTCATATGCTTATGTTCCACGTCCAACGATAGATTTATTCTACTATATTTGACTTTGATTTATTTCTAAAAATCTCAGAATGAAACTAACAGCAATAAACAATAAAATATATTGATTCTTTTCAATTAGACCGACTCAAAAAAAAAAAATTTTGTTTTTTTTTTTCAGCTCAGTTACAGTTGCAGTCGCTCAATAATTGAATCTTAAATCGATTTGCATTGCAGGGCTTAAATCATTGATTATGCCTTTCGTATAGCTGCGTCTGCTCACCGCTTCAAATCGGGGCCCAGTTGGTGGCCTAATAGGTTTCTTCTAGTGATCTAGCTGTGTTTTCTTTGGCTAAACCAAAACCTGAACGGAGAACAGCTGCAATTCGCACCCAGGCAGCAGGAACCGGTTGGCAGGATAACGAGAGGAGCAGGAACACGTACAATACGATTTGCTTCCCAAATGCACCTGGCGTTCATTTCGGATTGTCCTTAACGCAGGTCTTCCTACCTGCCTGACAACAACAACAACCACAACTTGTTGCTAGTGTTGCCAGGCAACAGCAACAGCAACTTGACGCGGTATCTGCCTCTCTCTCACTCAGGCCGTCTCTGTTGCATGGCTCGTCCACGATTTAAGTGCGCAGCTCAAGAGTCCTGCCTTGTAAATTGAGGCCAAGCGAGAAACATCTGCCACACGTCTTCCCTAATTGTTTGCCGTTGCACATGAGTCCAGCTGTTTGTTTGCCAGGGGCATAGCTGTCGCTGTCTTTTTAGCTGTAGCTGTAGCTATATCTGTATTTGTATCTGAGTGTTTGTATCTGTATCTGCTTGCGACGTCACAAACAAACCCTCGGCAGCGCTTTGCTCGCGAGCCAAAGTTTTTAATTTGTTGTTGGCCCCGGGGCCACTTCCTCTTGCCGCCGCACACACTTCCTCGCTGCCTGCTTTATATGCAACAAGTGTCGCCTCTGTCGGACGCTGTCGGCGACTCCGCCTGGCGTGAGCCGCAACGGCCGCGGCGGCCGCCTTTTGCCTTTCGCCTTTCGCTAAAGCGCAACCGTAATTGTTATTGATTTTACATTAGTGTTCTATTCAGAACTTATGCTTTATGGAGTGTGCCCTAGTCAAAACCAACAAACAGACAGATAGACAGACAGACAGGCGGACATATAGACAGACAGATGATAATCGGACAGACAGACAGCTGCTAGACGAACGCATCGGGTGGCATAACATGCATGTCACATTGCTTCACACTGAAGTGGGCGCCCATGGCAGCTCTATACATGATTTATCACAAATACATATATTAATAATAATAAATAATAAATTGTGGGGTCAAGTCGTGTGAAAAACAATTTGCACTTATCAGTGGGAATTTTATAAACATATTTGAGATTAGATTTGACTTTTAATCTTATCAAAAATGCGTCCGAAATAGAAATTGTTTTTATTTGCTTTGTTCTATGAATAAACCAAATTCTTATTTCACACAACATGTCAACAAAAGGTTAGCTAACAGAGCTCTGAAATTATCACAACATTACATTACCTCTACAGCCTAAAGGTATGCAATGTTATTATGCACGATAATTTAACTTCAGACAAACAGCCCTGTTAAAACTAACATGCAATGTAAATGCAATAACAGCTCTGGACTGCACTGTTGGAAACTGGTTCCACTGCACAGATTATTTTTGTTGGAATTGGAACATCAACAGATTTCAAAGCACTGTTAACAGCGCTGAGCTGCACTGTTGAATACAGGTTAAATGACAGAAGCAAAGTATGACTATTGATAGCATTGATGAAATGCAATGGAAATGAAACGACAGCACACTGTTAGACAAGCACCACTGGCACAATTACGATGCCACGATAAGACTAAACACATTGTAAAACAGTCATAAATACGCTTTAATAGAGCCGTAGACAGTTGATCCAATGAGTGCGATAAGTGATAAGCGGAATGCGCTTCCCTTTGCCCGCTGTGTATCCGGTGGCGCTTACCTGACGGCCGTCACATGGTGCGAGGTGTGCGTCTGGGTCTCCTTGTGCCGTGTGGAGAGACTGACAACGGTCACGTGTCGCGTGGCTGTGCGCACCACGCGACGCACTCGACTGCGGCCATCGCCCACAACGACGACTATCGGCGGCGGCTTCTTATCGCTGTCGTACTGCAGAAAGGACTCGCCACCGCTGTCATCGAGGGATGAGGCGGACGCGGGCACCGGCAGATGCCTGCGATTGTTATTGTTGTGGTGACTGTGCTTGCTGCTGCTGCTCGTCTTGGACATGATCGGAACGGGAACGGGAACGGAGCTTGCGACARTGACGTCGCATTCGACTCGAGACAATTGGAATGAAACACTTTACTGTTACAATATCGAGAGAGTGCTTAGCTCGGAACGGACGGGCGGGCGCGCGCGCGGTTGGGCGTGGCTGCACTTTCGCCTTCACTTTCCGTAGGTTTGTTTGTTCGCTTGACGTTTGCGGTTTTGTTTTGTATTGTTTGTGGATTTGCTTTCGTTCGTTTCATTCATTAGCAAATCGATTTCTTCTTTGTTGTTTTGCTTGTTGATTTGTGTTTAGCATTTATGTTGTATTATTGTTCTTGCTTTCGTTATATTTTATGTACGTATTTATATTTGATTGCATGTACGTTAATTTCTTTGCCTTTGTATCTTTGGTTTAGTTTGGAATATTTCGTTGCTACCCTCTCTCGCTACATTCCGCTGTAGTCGAGCGTTTAGATAACGTTGTACTTGTGTTGGCTCTAAGCGATAATATTAGTTAAATATATTTATTAAACTGACATTCCAAACACGCGTTCCTGTCTTTTGCGCATTGCGCACCTCGATTTCAAACCCAACGAGCACAAAGTTCGCTTAATGCGAACGCCCTTCAAAACGGCTGTATTAAAGCGGACTGAGACAGAGACAGCGCGTGAATTGATACACCCAATGCGAGAGAGAGATGGAGATACAAGTGACAATCACTAATGAAACAAGTGGGTTGCGTGACACTTGCAAAATGTTTGTTTGTTTTGTTTTTATTGTTGTCGTGCTTTTGTGACAGACTGCCAGAGAGAATCAGAGGAGAGAGAGAGAGAGAGAGAGAGAGAGAGAGAGAGAGAGAGAGAGAGAGACTATCAGATCACATTGTATCAGCTTTGTAGCTTTTTAGGTCAGCGATCGTTGATCACGAGTAAAAGTCGCATAGCTAGAAAATAAATGAAACTACCGCAGTGAGTGCCAAGTCAAAACAGAGGAGGAAAAAATAATATTCAAATTAAATGCGAATGCGAGTGCGAGTGCGAGTGCGAATGCGAATGATAGCACATTCATATGTCAGACACATGCCACATGCCACGGCCCAGCACAACAGTGGGATGTTGGTTAACAGTTTGACATCCGTCTGCAATGAAAAGCTTGTTGAGAAAGCTTTTTGGCACTGCTCCCACAGCGCCTTGGATCGCGGTGACCTGCTCTACTTTAATAAGTCCATAAATCATATGGAAATTTACGTGAGAGTTTTGTCAATGCACGCGACCAGGACAGACAGTGGGTGAGAGAGAGGCAGACACAATGGCGCATAGAAAGGGAAAAATATTCGTTCGTCTATCGGCAGACAAGATCAAGATCGTTATGTAAATTTGCTGTTGATATCAAATATGTATATATCTGCATATGTATGCATGGGCAATTGAACAAAGGGAAACGAAGAAGCGAATCCCCCACACTAACCACAGCCATAAATCTGTTGTCTGGTTGTTTTTTATGTTTTTGGCAAGTTCAAGAACCTTTGTTGAGTGTCTCGAGTGTTTTTGTTTTTGAAAGCGATCGCTGATGGCTTCATCGTCATCAACAGAAGTATCTGATTCGTTACAATTCTGGACAAATGTTGCTCACGGCGTCCCTAACGGCTGTCAGAGAGCGCCGATTGTTTCGTCATTTGTTGATACTCGGAAAGACACACTAATACAGTCATACACACACGATGTGACATGAAAAAGCTGTTTAGGCCAACGAATTTCGCTGTTTCGATAATCCAGCCTAGCCCACTGACAACCTCCTGCCCCCCCTATTGGCCCCTCTCCGTTGGCGGTATGTTAGCCTTGCCTTGGATTCCACAACAAGTCATGGCGCTATTGGCCAAAACAAGTCGCCTACAACACAACTGTTTTGACTGTTCTGAGTAGAGTTCTCGAGTCAAGTCAAGTCTACGCTGTGATCTGTGAGAATGCTGCCCCGAAAAACCCACTCGTAAAAGCCAAGCTTCTAAAAATGTTTTCTCATTTAACAACAATCGCAAAGTTGTTGTCGTTTTCTAACTTGATCTCGTTGTTGTTCTAAACATATTCTAAAAAAATAGTAAAAAAAAATCAACAACATTTATTGCAAGTCTCTCAATCTGCATTCAGTAAAGTCTGTGTAATTGGAATTTTGTTGAACGAGTTTAAGTTTAGCAGAAAATCGGCTTCGATTTTAGCATTTGGCGTTGGTTTTAATTTATGTTATGCTTAAAGCTCTGCTTGCATCCGCCACTGCGCACGACACAATGGTAACTAGTAGTTATTGTTGTTGTTGTTATAATTGTTGTAGATAGAGCTGCCTTTGTTTTACAGGTGTTCCACTGCACGAGCAACAGCATCAGCTGCAGCTGCAGCAGCAGCAGCAGCAGCAGCGACGACAATTGCAGTTGCAATCAGTTCCAAGTTGTTTTGTTGTATAATTATTAAATTTATAATTATTACACACACACAAACAAAAACCAACACACGTACACTCACGCACACAGAGCGAAAGGGAGAGAGAGAGAAAGGCAAAGTGCAGTTGGGTGCTGCTGAGTTGGGCTGCGCAGTAGCAGTTCACAATAGCAGCAGCAGCTAAAGCGCTGTGCGGTGATGTATTCACTTTGTATCATTAGTAACGGCGCACGTAATCCAACTCTCTTTCGCTTATTCACTCTCTCTCTTTATCTCTCTATTAGACGCAGTCCCTCCCTGTCTAGCAAATGGAATGCGTTTGCTTCTGCCTTTGCCTTTGCCTTTACGTTTCGACTGCAATTGGGAGGCTCAAAATGAGCGGAAGAGGAAGTGGAAACACAGTATGCAACAACGCTAACTGCACAACGCGACTGCGACGCAGCGTAATTGGTTAGACAGCGATTGTTACACAAGCTACGTACCAAGTAGCAGAGGCTCAGCAGAGACGCAGCGACGCAACGCAGCAGATCGCGCAACGGCAGCGCCTTGTATGCTTCGTGACAGAGCGAGACAGTTTTGAGCGCAGCAACCGTTAAATGTGACTTGAATTTTTTTTGCTTTCTCTGCGAATGCAGCTCCCAGCTGCAGCTGCGTGGAATCAGCTGTTAAGCTTTTACGCTCCTCAACTTAACGTTTTGCCGAAAAGTAAATGCCGTAATATAAAGCTTTAAGCTGCTGTCTGCATTACGCTGTGAGCTTGACAAAAGGACTTTTAGATAGATCGATTCGGTTGCTGAGCGACGCTTTATACTTATTACAATTGAGATCTTTTCTTCTTCTTTGAAGAGAGGGCTTCAGATTCTCTCGTGCACATATCTATTAGCAGTAGCTTAAGCTCTCAGCGATTGGCTACAGTTTCAATTAAAAATATGTAGCAGAAATTTCCAGTCGAGTCCACATACACACACCCCGTGAGCACACACACACACTCACACACACACACTGAACTGAAAGAGACCGACAGTGGGACGTTTTGGTCGTGTGTTTGCCGAAACGTAACGGGGCAGTGGCCGTGGCTTTTGCTTCTGCTGCTGCTGCTGCTGCTATTCCCGCTGTTGACGCCTGTTTTTTGTAGTTGTTGGCGGCACTATTGTTTTTGTGATACGCGCGCAGAGAAAGGCGATTTTCTCTTTAATTATATTTTATTTTTTACATTACAACAATTGTATGCAATGGCTGATTTTTTGTTATGTTTTGTTTTGTTTTTTTCATGGTTTCCGTTTGATTTTAGTTGGTGGTTTTTAGCTTTTCGTAGCTGCTGCTGCGGCGGCTGTAGTTGTTGTTGTTGTTATTGTTTTCTGTGGCAGGGGAACACGACGATGTCAAATTAATAAACCGGCCCTGGCATGAAGGCCGTCACAACAAACAAAATGCCAATTACAACAAAAGCAACTGCAACAAAAACAACAACATGTCAATGAAGACGCACGCGCTGTCAAGTCGTGAATTGTATGATTTGAACACTCACACACGCGCACAACATACATGTACCACATAGGCATGTGAGTGTGTTTTGCAATTTAGACTCTAAAATTTAATTTTCATTTTTTCATATTTTTTAACACTCACTCACACTCACACTCGCACAGGGTCACACACACGCAAGCCTTTGTTTGCAAATCAATTGGCGCGCTGCAAAATTTGTTATTCAATTTCCAAATTTCGTTGCTTGTTTCGCGTATGCAAAGTGGCAACAGAAACAACAATTAACGAATCCATATTCAAAAATCGAAAATAATAATGGATGCCCCAACAACAAAGTGTGAGCWGCGGACTCACTCCCCGAGTGAGCCAAGTTTATATATTAACAACAAAACGCACGATCGGGCGGGCAGCGACTGCGACGTCGACGTCGTCGTTGTCGTTGTCGTTGTCGTTTTGAACAGAAAAGCGCGCGCACGGTTTCTCTGTGGCCTGTGCTGCCTGCTGCGACGAAACTTTGAGAGAGACTGAAGTGGCCGACAGAGGCGCGCGAGCTTCCAAGCCGTAAATCGACGGCCCGTTTCCACGTCTATCGCTGTGTGCGAGAGCGTGAGTAAATGGTGAGTGAATGTGTGTGAACGTGAGTGTGTTTCTGCGTGTGTGAGTGTGTGTGTACGTGTGTTGTATTTGCCAATAGGCAAGTTTGTGTGCCAGTTATTGTTGCGGCTGCTGTTCTGGCTGTTCTAGCTGTTCTGGCTGTGTGCTAAGCTGTTCTTTTCAATTTGATCTACCGAAAACAATTGGCGGATCGTAAGCGAAACACTTGCAGAATAGCCAGCTAACACACATACGCGCACACTCTCCGCACACAATACACCTGCAACTCATTGACGTACTTGCTGTGACTGGAAGGCAGCACAGTGGGACAAAGACTAATTGTAATTGTAATTAAAAAAAAAAAAATACATACGAAACTCATGTGGGATTCTTTGATGCAATTAAGAACCCCTGAAAACATCTGCAGTACAGCAGCTTTTCAGTTTCCATTAAGAAGTTGCGCCAATTGAAATTGAAAGAAAGAGCCAAACCAGAAAATACGGAATACATGCGAATAGGCAGCCACACACCATCATGAAATCAAGGTGTAAATTTGTATGCAAACGACATCCACACACATACGCACACACTATACTGAAAGAAACTCACACTCGCAGCACAGTCACTGTCAAAAAGGCGATCACAATAGCCAAAAACAGCTGCTCACAACAACAACAATAACAGCAGCAACAGCAACTGCATTGAGAGAGCGGCAAGCGTACGAAATGAGCGAGTGAGTGCCAAAATAATAATAACGAGCTCAAGTAACAGACGCGAGGCATATGAGCGAGCAATAAGCTGCGCTTACGTTACGCTCAGGTGACTCACGACCTCACGTCTGGGTCTGGTCGTTGAAGGGCGGGTGCGGGCGGCGCTGAGCGGGGGCGCTGCAGTCCGCTCTCTCTCTCTCTCTCTCTCTCTCTCTCTCAGTGCTTATGCATTTGCTGTATATATGGGAACGAGTGTGAGTACATTATGGCCGCTGTAAA